GAGAGAGAGAGAGAGAGAGAGAGAGAGAGAGAGAGAGAGAGAGAGAGGGAGAGAGACACCGAGACCAACTTCTGCAAGTTATCCTCTGACCTCCACATATAAATAATAATTTGATAAATAAGCTTTTTGTGTCACCGTTTTACTAAACTGGCTAAAAAATCGGGATCATAACCCTATCTGCGCTGGGACGTGGTGACCCCAGCTGTGTGGGTCCTGAAGGATGTGTCATAGATCTCCAGCCCGTCATACTCGGGGTCTGTCCCTCCTGGCTATTGGGGGACCACACAAGAAGATGCAGTCACATACCTGCCTCAGTGTCTCTTTTTCAGTCACTTCAAACATCAAGTTTAAATGTTCGTTTTATTTTAAAGAACACCACATGAAATCTTTATTTTCTTGCTTTAAAAAAAAAAAGTCAGAGTCTCATTCTGTAGCCCAGGCTGGCCTCAAACTTACAATGATCGTCCTGCCTCGGCCTCCTTTCCTTCTTCCCCATAAACAGGCACCCCCTCCTGTTTTCGTGCCTCGTACATTCTAGAATGCAGAGAGCATGAAAAACTGCCCAAGACCCCTGGCAGTAGACTCTTGGCCCCGTGTCTCTGAGATGGCTCCTCTGCCCTGGCTCCATGTTGGGGCATCTCTACACCTCACCCACTCCTGCCTGCTGCACTGTGCCCTCCTCTGCCGGTATCTCACACAGATAAGGTTCCTCTGCTTCCAATTCCCTTAGCTGAGGACATGTGTGACCCTGGCCAGGTACCCAGGGGTGTGCCATCCTACGCTGGTGGCGAGTGGTTCACTGAGGCGACATCACATGGAACAAAGAGGTGCCCAGCCCAGTCAGTCCAGAGAACCCTGACTTACAGAGACGGTCTATGCAAACCAACTCCATCCGCATAGAAATGTGCACAGACCCAAGGCTCTGCTGTCCAATGGGGTGGCAATGAAAATGAAGGAACTGTACCTCTGTGTAGGGGCCTGGGGGATTCTTCCTCCCGGTACAGCGTGTCTGGCGTCAGCACACTGTCAGCTTTGACTTACACATGACAGCAGACCTTTAAGTCTGGAGAGGTCACCAGTGGGTGGCAGGGCTTACAAGGGTCTTTGGCCCTTAGAATTTGTTGTCCTTGAAAAAAATTGTTCAGCTCGGCTTTGGACGCTTCTGTAGTATTTCAGTTTCAATACAACAACTAATGCTTTCTCTCAAGTCTGTGTTGGTACTGGCTAGACAAGGTGATAGCTGGGAGTGTGTTGGGGGGGGGTCCTCTCTAGTCCCAGGAGAGGGACCTGTATCTCCTGTGACTGGAGGCTGCAGTAGCTAAGCCCCTTTGCAGATATATCCTTTGCCTTGGTCTAGAATCTAAACAGAATTTAGATTTCCCAGAATCCTTTGCAACGTGCGCAAACTAGAGAGGGTTAAATTCAGTGGTTGCCCCTTGGTGTTTTCTACACAGAGTTCCAACCTCCAGGCTCCAACTGGGTGGTGTACTAGTGTGCTTTGTAATTCAATCATCCCGTGGTCGCGTCCTGGTTCTTTTCAGAACTTTTTCTGGAGCCAGCTACGAGGTTCAGGCCTCTGGTCCTTCAGGTGGCCCTGTATCAAATCCCATCTGGGCAAATGACCTGGGGTGCCTAAGTCACAGCACCTCTCAGGACCCAGGCGTCAGGAAAGATAAAGAGGGAGCAGTGTGTGCATGAACTGGAGGTATTATGTGACCCAAGTATCTGGTTTGACACCCCAGGCTCTGGTCCCAGTTTGCAAATATTCAGACACTTCCATGTGAGGTGCAACTGGTACACAATTCTATTCAGGGTGCTGCGAGTGGTGTATCCCTTGGGATGGTCACGTGAGCCAGATGTCCCTGCTCCCCAACCCAAGTGTCCACAAGGAAACCCTCAACCCCCAACGAAGGCCTGAGGTGGTAGGGCTTCTAGGAGGGGTCCTGCAGTGGCCTTAGAGCCTCCATGAGAAAGACAGGAAGCATCTTTGTCCCCTTCACGCCGTGTGGGAAGGTGACGGAGCAACAGGGCCCCTGGAAGGGGGCCTACCCTGTAGTACCGGGCCTGAACCTCCCACCCTTCCAGAACTACAGAGAATATGTCTGTTTTCAAGTCACACCACTGCCAGGGGCACTGGGCTAAGGCAGTGCTGACTGACGAAGAAACAGAAAGTAGGGTTAACACGGCCCTCTTCTGAGAGACAGGATTTCAAAAATAACAATAATAATAATAATAGTAATAGAAAACTGGGCATCTGCATCAGCTGGTCAGCTGCAGGATCAGACAGAGCTCCAGGCCCTTCTGGTCTCTTCTTCTGGGTCCCTTACCCCTCATTGCACACACACACACAAGCGGACAAGTATGTGTTCAGTTTTGTTCTGATGCAGGTGCATGCGGAGGGAAGAGGTTGACACTGGTGTCTTC